GCAGCTGCTGCTTCTGCAGCTGTTGCTGCTGCTGCTGCTGCTGCTGCAGCTGCTGCTTCTGCAGCTGTTGCTGCTGCAGCTGCTGCTTCTGCAGCTGTTATTGCTGCTGCTGTTGTTGCATCACGCTGCCGCCGTAGCTGCTGCTTCTGCTGCTGCTACTATCGTAGCTGCTGCTGCTGCTGCTGCTGCTACTACTATCGTAGCTGCTGCTGCTGCTGCTGCTGCGTTTAGTCTCCTCTTAATCCTCTGATTCTGCGTACACCCGAAGACAGACCATCCTTAATTTTATCATATATCCTGCGGAAAGTTGATGGTCTTTGGGGGCGCTCTTCCTCTTCCTGCTGCTGCTGCTGCTGCTGCTGCTGCTCCTTCAGCTTATCTTGCTGCTGCTTCTCCGGCTTCTCTGGCTGCTTCTGCTTCTCTTCCTCAGGTTGCTGCTCCTCCGGCTTCTCTCCCTGCTGCTGCTGCTGCTCTTCTTCTTGCTTCTGCTGCTGCTCCTCCTCTTCTTGCTTCTGCTGCTGCTCTTCTTCTTGCTTCTGCTGCTGCTCTTCTTCTTTCTTCTGCTGCTGCTCTTCTTCTTGCTTCTGCTGCTGCTCTTCTTCTTGCTTCTGCTGCTGCTGCTGCTCCTTCTCCTCTTGCTGCTGCTGCTGCCGCTCCTCCTCTTCTTTCTTCTGCTGCTGCTGTTCCTTCTCCTCTTGCTGCTGCTGCTGCTGCTGCAGCCTACGCAGCTCCTCTTGCTGCTGCTTCGTCTCCCTCTCTCTCTCTGCCAGCTGCTTCTGCTGCTTTCGCCTTTCTCCTTGCTGCTGGGCGACATGACTAAGCAGCAGCAAAGCCTCTTCTCGCTGCTTCTTCGTTTCTTCTTCTATCTGTTGCTGCAGCTGCTCCTCGTCTTCTTCAGTCGGCCTCCTAAGCATAGACGGTGTCATCTCTCTCTCTCTCTCTTGCTGCTGCTGCTGCTCCTGCTGCTGCTGCAGCTTCTGCTGCTGCTGACGCTGCTGCCGCTGCTGCCGCTGCTGCTGCTGCTGCCGCTGCCGCTGCTGCTGCTGCTGCCGCTGCTGCTCCTGCATCTGCTGCTGCTCCTGCATCTGCTGCTGCTCCTGCATCTGCTGCTGCTCCAGCAGCTGCTGCTGCAGCTGCTCCTCCTGCATCTGTTGCTGCTGCTGCTGCTGCTGCTGCAGCAGCTGCTGCTGCTGCTGCTGCAGCTGCTGCTGCTCCTGCAGCTTCCTTGTTGCTGAAGTGACAGCAGGTGAGAAGGCAGCAGCAACTGCATCTGCGATTGGTGAGTTATCAAACAATGCACTGAAGAGATCTGCGAGTGCTTCTCCTAAGTCTGCTTCTGCGTCTGCTGCTTCTTCTTCTTCTTGCTCTTCTTCTGGATCCGCAGTATCTGCTTCTGCTGCTGCTGCTGCTGCCGCTGCTGCTGCTGCTGCTGCTGCTGCTGCTGCTTGAGGTGGGAGCTTAATCGTAGAAGGAGGATTCAAACTGCTATTTGAAGTGCTGCTATCGAGAAGATCTGCTGCTGCTGCACTTAGTTCAGCTGTCTGCAGCAAAGGAGCAGCAGCAAACAGCACTGCAACAGCGCCTAGGCGTCTTCTGCTGCTGCCTAGCATCTTATTATATAGAAGGGTAGGTGTAGATAAAAATATAGATATATATAGATATATGTATATATTTAAAGGTGTATGTTGCTGCAGTAGCTACCACAAAAAAATACAAAAGAAACAGAAGATGCAACAGCAGCAAACAGCAGCAGAATGCTGAAGGTAAGTAGCAGCGAGGGGAGGAGTCGAGTGGTGAGGGACGGAGCCGCAGCAGCAGCAGCAGCAGCAGCAGCAGCGGCAGCGGCAGCGGCTGCTGCTGGTATAGCAGCAGCAGCAGCAGCAGCAGCAGCAGCAGAATTTAGCTTTGAAATAAAGGTGTTTTGCCCTATTTTATTTACTTTTTGCAGTGAAAAGAATATTAATTTTAAATTAATTTTATTTTTATTGTTTTAAAGACTGTTTTAAAGCCTCTGTCGCGTGCATACACCTGACGCATATATATACACGTCTTCGTTCATACCTCTTTGCTGCTGCTAGCTTTATCTTCTGTAGTTTTATCGGTTTCTCTGCACGTTTTTATATTTTAAAAACATAAAAATATATAAATTGAGTTTATTTTGCCCAAAATATAAACAAAAAACACGAAAATAATGCATCGCTGAGCTGCACATACACCCCAATGAAGAAGAGGAAGAGACAGCGCTATCCCTCTGTACTCGTACATCTCTGATTAATATAAATTAATATATATTAATATTAATTAATATTTATTAATTTAAATAGAGTTAAAATATTATAATAATATATTCTCTTTTGTTTATTCATGCAATAAAAGAACAAAAAATACCGACGGAGTTTCTTTTTTATTTACTCTTCTATTTACTCATCTTTTAATTTAATATTTTAAAAACAAATTTATTTTTATTTATTTTTATTTATTTTTATTTATTTTATTTGCATGCAAAACAAATTTGTAATTCTCCAACACTAGCCTGACCCCCTGGGGGCAGCAATATAATATATATA